TTCCAGAATTGCTAACACCTCCTCCTTATGAACCTCAATCCCGTCTAGTCTAATAGACTGTATCTCAGTATTCTCCTTGACAATATTGTCTTTTTCCTATGTGAATACTGACAAAAAATATTCATTTAGCGCCTCTCCTATCTCTTCGGATTCCACGCACAACTTCCCACTACTGTCCTTGACCGGCCCTAATCTTACTCTAGTCATTCTTTTATTCCTGACATACCTATAGAAAGCTTTAGGGTTTTCCTTGATCCTACCTGCTAAAGACTTCTCATGTCCCCTCCTGGCTCTTCTTAGCTCTCTCTTTAGGTCCTTCCTGGCTAACTTGTAACTCTCAAGTGCCCTCACTGAGCCTTCACGCCTCATCTCTACATAAGCCTCCTTCTTCCTGTTGACAAGAGATTCAACTTCTTTAGTAAACCACGGTTCCCTCGCTCGACCACTTCCTCCCTGCCTGACAAGTACATACTTTTCAAGGACACACAGTAGCTGTTCCTTGAACAAGCTCCACATTTCAATTGTGCCCAGCCCCTGCAGTTTCCTTCTCCATCCTGTGCATCCTAAATCTTGCCTAATCACCTCATAATTGCCTTTCCCCCAGCTATAACTCTTGCCCTGCGTTATATACCGATCCCTTTCCATCGCTAAAGTAAATGTAACTGAATTGTGGTCGCTATCACCAAAGTGCTCACCTACCTCCAAATCTAACACCTGGCCTGGTTCATTACCCAGTACCAAATCCAATGTGGCCTCGCCTCTTGTTGTCCTATCTACATACTGTGTCAGGAAACCCTCCTGCATACATTGGACAAAAACTGACCCATCTGAAGTACTCGAACTATAGCGTTTCCAGTCAATATTTGGAAAGTTAAAGTCCCCCATAACAACTACCCTGTTACTTTCGCTCCTATCCAGAATCATCTTTGCAATCTTTTCCTCTACATCTCTGGAACTTTTCGGAGGCCGATAGAAAACTCCCAACAGGGTGACCTCTCCTTTCCTGTTTCTAACCTCAGCCCATACTACCTCAGTAGACGAGTGCTCATCAAACGTCCTTTCTGCCACCGTAATACTGTCCTTGACTAACAATGCCACACCTCCCCCTCTTTTACCACCTTCGCTGATCTTACCGAAACATCTAAACCCCGGAACCTGCAACAACCATTCCTGTCCCTGCTCTATCCATGTCTCGGAAATGGCCACAACATCGAAGTCCCAGGTACCAACCCATGCTGCAAGTTCACCCACCTTATTCCGGATGCTCCTGGCATTGAAGTAGACACACTTCAAACCACCTTCCTGCCTGCCGGTACACTCCTGCGACCTTGAAACCTTATTTATGACCTCACTACTCTCAACCTCCTGTACACTGGAGCTACAATTCAGGTTCCCATCCCCTTGCTGAATTAGTTTAAACCCTCCCGAAGAGCATTAGCAAATTTCCCCCCCAGGATATTGGTACCCCTCTGGTTCAGGTGTAGACCATCCCGTTTGTAGAGGTCCCACCTACCCCAGAATGAGCCCCAATTATCCAGGTATCTGAATCCCTCCCTCCTGCACCATCCCTGTAGCCACGTGTTCAACTGCTCTCTCTCCCTATTCCTCGCCTCGCTAGCACGTGGCACGGGTAACAAACCAGAGATAACAACTCTGTTTGTTCTAGCTCTAAGCTTCCACCCTAGCTCCTTGAATTTCTGCCTTACATCCCCATCCCTTTTCCTACCTATGTCGTTGGTGCCTATGTGGACCACAACTTGGGGCTGCTTTCCCTCCCCCTTAAGGATCCCGAAAACACAATCCGAGACACCACGGACCCTGGCACCTGGGAGGCAACACACCAACCGCGAGTCTCTCTCGTTCCCACAGAATCTCCTATCTGTCCCCCTAACTATGGAGTCCCCAATGACTAATGCTCTCCTCCTCTCCCCTCTTCCCTTCTGAGCAACAGGAACAGACTCTGTGCCAGAGACCTGTACCCCGTGGCTTACCCCTGGTAAATTGTCCCCCTCAACAGTATACTTGTCATTGAGGGGAACGGCCACAGGGGATCCCTGCACTGTCTGCCTGTTCCCTTTCCGTCCCCTGACTGTAACCCATCTACTTTTTTCCTGTACCTGAGGTGTGACTACCTCCTTGTAACTCCTCTCAATTATCCCCTCAGCCTCCCGAATGATCCGAAGTTCATCCAGCTCCAGCTCCAGTTCCCTAACACGGTTTCCGAGGAGCTGGAGTTGGGTGCACTTCCCGCAGATGAAGTCAGTGGGGACACTCGTGGTGACCCTTACCTCCCACATTCTACAGGAGGAGCATACAACTGCCCTAACATCCATTCCCACTGTTCTGAATTCCCAAACAGACTATTGAAAAAAAAACTAGTAACCTTACCAAATCGGCGCTCAGAGTCTTTTGTTTTGGTTAGAGGAGGAGGATGGTTGGGAGACACTACCTAAGCAGTGTTTCGGGTAAAGCAACTGCCCAATATATTACCTCACTTACTCCAAAAATGGAGTCACGCAAGGTAAGACTTTTATAATCGAAAAGCTTACCTTCCCAGGGTGCCCTCGTGCTTCCTCCTGGACTCCCGCCGCTGAAACCACTGACAAATGCCTTCTGGAAATCCAGATACACCACATCCACAGGTTCCCCATTGTCCACCATGCAAGTAATGTCCTCAAAGAATTCCACCAAATTAGTTAAACATGACCTACCCTTCATGAACCCATGCTGGGTGTTCCCAATGGGACAATTTATATCCAGATGTCTTGCTATTTCTTCCTTAATGATAGATTCAAGCATTTTCCCCAATACCGAAGTTAAGCAAACTGGCCTATAGTTACCTGCTTTTTGTCTACTTCCTTTTCTAAACAGCGGTGTCACATTGGCTGTTTTCCAATCTGCGGGAACCACCCCAGAGTCCAGTGAATTTTGGTAAATAATTACTAGTGCATTTGCTATTTCCCCCATCACCTCTTTTATTACCCTGGGATGCATTTCATCTGGGCCAGGAGACTTGTCTACCTTTAGCCCCATTAGCTTGCCCAGCACTGCCTCCTTAGTGATAATGATAGTTTCTAGGTCCTCACCTGCTATAACCTTCTTGCCATTAGTTTTTGGCATGTTATTTGTGTCTTCCACTGTGAAGACCGACACGAAATAACTGTTTAATGTCTCAGCTATTTCCTCATTCCCAGTTATTAAATTGGCCTTCTCATCCTCTAAAGGACCAATGTTTACCTTCGCCACTCTTTTACGATTTACATATTTATAGAAACTTTTGCTGCCTGTTTTTATATTCTGAGCTAGTTTACTCTCATAATCTATCTTACTTTTCTTTATAACTTTTTTTGTGGCTTTCTGTTGGCCTTTAAAGATTTCCCAGTCTACTAGTTTCCCACTAATCTTTGTGTTTTTGTATGTGTTTTTTTTTCAATCTGATACTTTCCTTTATTTCCTTAGACATCCATGGCTGGCTCTCTCTTTTTCTACAGTTCTTCCTTATCACTGGAATATACTTCTGCTGAGCACTGTGAAAAATTGTTTTGAAAATCCTCCACTTTTCCTCAATTGACCCACCATAAAGTTTTTGCTCCCATTCTACCTTAGCTAACTCCTTCGTCATTCCTTCATAGTCTCCTTTGTTTGAGCACAGGACATGGGTACTGGATTTAACCTTCTCACACTCCATCTGTCTTTTAAATTCGACCATACTGTGATCGCTCCTTCCAAGAGGATCCCTAACTGTGAGATCATTAAGTATTTCTGTCTCATTACACAGGACTAGATCTAGGATAGCTTGCTCCCTCGTAGGTTCCATTACATATTGTTCAAGGAAATTATCGCGGATGCATTCTATTAACCCCTCCTCAAGGCTGCCATGACCAACCTGGTTTGACCAATCGATATGTGGATTAAAATCCCCCATGATAATTGCTGTACCATTTTTACATGCATTAGCTATTTCTGTTTATTGCCCGCCCCACCATGATGTCATTATTTGGTGGCTTATAGACCACCCCTATCAGTGACTTCTTCTCCGTGCTATTCCTAATTTCCACCCAAATGGATTCAATGTTTTGTTCAGCAGAACCTATATCATCTCTCACTACCGCCCTGATATCATCCTTAAAAATCAGAGCAACACCACCTCCCTTACCTTCCTGTCTGTCCTTCTGAACAGTTTGATACCCCTGGATATTTAACTCCCAGTCATGACCATCCTGTAACCATGTCTCTGTAATGGTCACTAAATCATACCCATTTGCCATGATTTGCGCCGTCAACTCATCCACCTTGTTTCGAGTGCTCCGAGCATTCAGATAAAGTGCCCTTATGCCAGTTTTTGCACCTTCTTTTTGGGTCCTATTACCTTCATTACTAACAGCTCGAGTTCTCCTTCCCTTTAACTTTTTTCCTAATTTTCAATGGAGTTGAAGCTTCCTTGTCACCTGCTAACCTGCTGCTTTGCCTTACATTAATTGTTATTCTCCCTCTCCACTCACTTCTCCCTTCCCCCGTACTCACTAGTTTAAAGTCCTGTTGACCACCCTATTTACCCTTTTCGCCAGAACACTGGACCCGGCCCTGTTCAGGTGGAGTCCTTCCCAGCGGTATGGATTCCTCCTGTCCCAGAACTGATGCCAGTGCCCCATGAAAAGGAAACCCTCTTTCCCACACCACTCTTTCCTTCCCTAAAGGACATTAGTGAACCAGATGCGTTTTTCTGACAATTGACAATGGATTCATGGTCATCATTAGACTCTTAATTCCAGATATTTATTAAGTTCAAATTCCACCATCTGCCATGACAGGATTTGAACCTAAGTCCCCAGAACATTACCTGGGTTTCTGGATTAACAGTCCAGTGATAATACCACTAGGCCATCATCTCCCCTATAAATGCAAGCTTGTCTTTCCTTTTCTCCGCTCTAGTTTAAAATCCGCCAATGCAAGGGTTTGGAAATTTCTGAAATACCGGGTTGTTACACACATGTGCTCACCTCTCCTTGCCCTCGATGTTAGACAGAAGTGTCACGGAGGAGAAGAGTAAAGCGTAGAGGGGAAAAAAGGCAGGAATTCCAGTCATTTTCTCCCGATCTCTGCTGATGTTGGATTGTCACATGTCCAGAGATCCAACAGCAGGAAGGTTTAAATAGGACAAACCTGTCAATCATCAACAGGACAATCCCAATCTCACTGAGGTCATTAACTCAGTGTAATCCACATGGTTGACAGAAAAATAAATGTCTGCTTCCATTCAGGAACAGCTCTGTTAACACACTACTAGAATCGATCAGCAAATCTGGGATGTTTGTGGATCCTCCTGCTCCAGTGAGCTGTTTAATCGTCCACCACCATTCACAACTGGATGTGGCAGGACTGCAGAGCTTATCTCTGATCTGTTGGTTGTGGGATCGCTTAGCTCTGTGTACCAAACGCTGGAGGCAGTATACAAGTGATTCAATAGTTTCCAACAGTCATTAACAAAAGGGACACAAAGCTAAAGACTATTAACAAAGAATCAGAAAAGTGAGCAGCAGAATGTGTTATTTAAGCATTGAGTAATGATGATCTGTTAGGCAATGTCTGAAAGTGTGGGTTGTTATGACACAGAAACAGATAGCTGAGCCAAAGCTGTCTCTCTATGTTTGTATTTTCATCCTGGTAAAATCCAAACATTCAAAGACCCTGAAAATTGACCCCAATGGTTCCTACCCAGTCTTTTTGACTAACTAGTACCAGACTTTGTGAGCAATCAAAAGCAGACGTCAGGTTTATAGCTTAAATAAAAGATTTAACCATTTATTGATAATACAGTAACTTTAGTAGAGCAAAGTTAAACCACAAATGAATCTAAATAATGCCTGATTTAAAGCCAATTAAAGTTGATTTAAAGTCTCTAACACCTCTCCCTAGTCTCACAGAAAGATAGACAGACAAACAGGCACAATCAAAGGATAAATCAAAAGGAAAAAGAAAACAAATGAACTGTAACTGGACATTTCACTGAAGCAGTCTCCACAATCCGTAATCTCAATGGGATTGTATTTTGTCTGGTTCCTGAAGACACCAATGAATCCAGATAGCTTCCAGTAGGCTCTGAGGAATATTCATTTAATTCTCATAACTGAGAGTGTGTTCTTTGAATTTTCATGCATTAATAATGGGATAACAATCAGAAAGCAATCAAACCTCCATTCTGTAGCTTTGGTAGCCAAAATCCTTCTGACCTAAACACAAATCAAAAACCAGTTCAAATGCTGTCCTAAGGGGCAACTTTTTCCCACAGAGGGTGGTGCGTGTATGGAATGAGCTGCCAGAGGAAGTGGTAGAGGCTGGTACAATTACAACATTTAAAATGCATCTGGATGGGTGAGTGAACAGGAAGGGTTTAGAGGGATATGGGCCAAATGCTGGCAAATGGGATAAAATCAGTTTAGGATATCTGGTCAACATGGATGAATTGGACTGAACGGTCTGTTTCCTTGCTGTACATCTCCATGACTCTATGTTTCTCTTCGTTAGGCTGTCTCCTTATGAGGCCCCAGTTAAGATTCAATAATTGCCATCAATTTGAACACAGTGCCTCCCTGGAGTCGAAATGTCTATAGAGCACTTTTCAAACAAGAACCAAACTGCAATTAACTTTCAGCCCTGGGCTCGTAACAAAAGGGTCTAGGCCCAAAACGTCAGCCTTCCTGCTCCTCTGATGCTGCTTGGCCTGCTGTGTTCATCCAGCTCTACACCTTGTTATCTCAGTTTGTTTGTTTTCTTTTATTTAAAAAATACTAACTGCTATTCACAACTCAACCTTCAGCTCTCAGCTCACAGTTCACAGCTCTGAAGCAAAAATGATTACAAAATAAAAAGAAGAAAAAAGTCAGTGAGCATTCTAGCAAGGAAAAGCAGGTTGTTATGACTGCCTGGGGCAGCATGCTGGAAATCGAGCCCCTCTAGTCCCAGAGTCATCACAAAAGTTAGAGATTTTTAAAAGCACACAAAGTTCCCCATTTCCCTGATATTGAGACCCAGGTTGATAGAAAGCATGGATCAGGTTTCTATACTGAACAAGATTCACTATTTAATAGATAAAAGGAAAAGAGAAGCCAAAGTGAACACAGGTCCCTAAGAGAATGAAGCTGGAGAAAAAATAATGGGGGAACCAGGAAATGGCAAAGGAGTTGAATAAATGCTTTATATCAGTTTTCACAGTAGAAAAGGAAGTGATGGCCCAGTGGTATTATCACAGAGACTCAGATAATGTTCTGGGGACCCAGGTTTGAATCCCACCATGACAGATGGTGGAATTTGAATTCAATGAAAAAATATCTGGAATTAAGAATCTACTGATATGTGTTAAATCATTGCTGATTGTCAGAAAAACCCATCTGGTTCACTAATGTCCTTTAGGGAAGGAAACTGCCATCCTTACCTGGTCTGGCCTACATGTGACTCTAGACTCACAGTAATGTGATTCCGAAGTGACCTCAGAAATGACCTTAACATACTATTCAGTTCAAGGGTCATTGGGGATAGCAATAAATGCTGGCCAGTCAGCAATGCCCACATTCCATGAATGAGTAAACAAAAAGAAAACATTAATGGCATCCAAACAATAAATATTCAAGTAGCGAAAGGAGGAGAGAAAATAAATGCAATAGCTATCACTAAAGAATGAAGTGCTTAGAAAACTAGTGGGCCTTAAGTCACCAGGACCTGATGTACTGCATCCTCGGATATTAAATGAAGTGGTAATCTTCCAGGAATCCTTAGATTCTGAAAAAAGACTGCTGATGTAACACCATTTATTTAATAAAACACAGGTAACTATAGGCCAGTTAGTTTAACGTCTATTACTGGAACAATGTTACAGTCTAATCTAAAGGCTGTAATAACAGAGCATTGAGAAATACACACCCTGATCAATCAGGGTCAGTATGGGCTCATGAAGGGGAAATCATGCCTGAGACATTTACTAGAATTCTTTGAGGAGGTAACAAGCCAGATAGATAAAGGGGGAGCAGGGGATGTAATATATTTGGATTTTCAGAAGGTGTTTGATAAGGTGCCACACATTAGGCAACTTAATAAGAGCCCATGGTGTTGGGGGCAGTAAATGAGCATGGATAGAGGATTGGCTAACTGATAGAAAACAGAGGGTTCGGATAAAGGGGGGCATTTTCAGGATGGGAACCTGTAACTAATGAAATGCCACAGGGATCAGTGCTGGGGTCACAATTATTTAAAATGACAATTAATGACTTGGATGAGGAAAGTGAATGCACTGTAGCCAAGTTCATGGATGACACCAAGATGGGTGGGAAGGCAAGTGGTGAGGATGACACAGAGTCTGCAAAGGGATAGAGACAGATTAAGTGAGAGGGCAAAATCTTGGCAGATGTGATGTAATGTGGGGAAATATGGAGTTGTACATTGCAGCATAACTGTTCATCAATAATGAGATGGTAATAGCTGAGGGAAGGATCATCTACTGTATTTCCTGAAGCACATGGCATCACATGTTCACTTCCTGGAAATGATATCAGTGCAGGGTTGATTCATAAAATGTTTAAAAAACTTTTGATAAAACCATCCTTGGCGAAACTCTTCCACCATGAGATGGAGCCCAGCTCTGTCCTCACAATGCTGCAGTGCTTTCTTTTCAAGTGTTTATCTGATTCTTTGTTGATAGGTATTAAACCTTGTGAGGCCTATGTCTTTTTAGTTTGTTTTGTCTTTTAAAAGTACGTTTTGAGAGTCAGTAACCTCACTCCCATTATAGTAGGCATTGTATAAACAACCAAGTTGCAGATGATTTGGAGCTGAGGGAATGGACCAATACAGCTTTTGTTGGTAACAAGGAGTTGGCTGGTCTATGGACTAGTGACCAGTTATCAATGACAAAAGCCTTTTGTCTTTCAACAACCATGTGATTGGTTATCAGGTAACTGGACAGCTTGGAGTTGGGAACAAGATACATAGAGAGAGAAGTGTTCAATCCTTCTCTAGCTCAGGAACAGTCTCTCTCTTCTCTGCAGTCAAAACTCACTGTAAGCCTGAAGAAAGCAAATTTATCTTTCCTGCAAAATTTGTTGTAATGTGTGACTCTTAGCTGACAAACCAAAGACTCCTTTGTGAGTGAACTAGCCACCTTGTGTCTCATAGAGTTGCACAGCATGTAAACAGAAACGTTGGTCCAACTCATCCATACTTACCAGGCATCCCAAACTAATCTAGTCCCATTTGCCAGCATTTAGCCCATATCCCTCTAAACCCTTTCTTTCATTTACCCATCCAGATGTCTTTTAAATATTGTAAATGTACCAGCCTCCATGACCTTTTCTGGCAGCTCATTCTATACATGCACCACCCTACGTGTGAAAAAGTTGCTCCTTAGGTCCCTTTTAAATCTTTCCCCTCACACCTTAAACCTATGCCCTCCAGTTTGGTCTCCTCTACCCTGGGAAAAAAAAAAGACCTTGCCTATTCACCCTATCCATGCCTCTCATGATTTTATAAACCTCTATAACGTCACCCCTCAGCCTCTGACACTCCAGGGAAAATAGCCCCAGCCTATTCAGCCTCTCCCTATAGCTCAAACCCTCCGACCCTGGCAACATCCTTGTAAATCTCTGCTGAACCATTTCAAGTTTCACAACATCTTTCCCACAGCAGGGAGACCAGAACTGAATGCAATGACATCCTCCCTATTTTAGCACCGCTTGGCAGGTTTGACAGCACTGTTTCCGCTGTTGTCTTTTCCGGTGCCTAGGTCGTTGCTAGGTGATCTGTCTGGTTTCATTTCTTTGTTGAGATTTCATAGCAATTGATCACAACTGAGTGACTTTCAGGGCCACTTCAGAGGGCAGTTAAGAGTCAACCATATTGCTGTGGGTCTGGAGTCATGTGTAGGCCAGACCAGGTAAGGATGGCAGATTCCATTCCCTTCCCTGAATGACATTATTGGAGTTGTTGATTGGTTCACCGTGGATGAAAACCAGTCAGCTAACATTTTGTCACAACAAGGTGCAGAGCTGGATGAACACAGCAGGCCCTGAAGGGTCTAGGCCCGAAACGTCAGCCTTTCTGCTCCTATGATGCCGCTTGGCCTGCTGTGTTTATCCAGCCCTGCACCTTGTTGTCTTGGATTCTCCAGCATCTGCAGTTCCTACTATCTCTGATTCAGCTAACATTTTGTCTCCCTTCTGGGTGACATTGTCAGCACATGTAGCTGAATTGATATGGTTCAGTCTGTCAGGGTGGGCAGTGTTGTTTCTGGTTTTGTACCATAGTGAAATGTAGAAGTGCTTTATTTCACCATGTTTGTTAATTGCATCAATGGTTGAAAACCAGGCCTCCTGGAATTCTTGTGTTTATCTTTGTCTCACTTGTCCTCGTACAGTAACTTTGTTCAAATCAAATTGATGTCCTTCTATGCCGGAGTGTATTGAATTGAGGGAGAATTGGTTGTACCAATTTTCAGCCACCAATGCAATTAACAAACATGTTGAAATAGACTCCATCTACACACGGGGATCTTGTTATTGCACAGTTCCTGGTGGCAGCACTTGTTAATATTTACCTGTTTCCCTGGTTTAATGGATGATTTGGTGATGACTTTCCAGAAAAAAAAGCTCAGTTTCTGACTCCTTGTGTAGGAATAGTGTCTCTAGCTCAGCCTAGTGTCCCAACTGCTCCAGTGAACTAACAAGGTGTAGAGCTGGATGAACACATCCTCTGATGCTGCTTGGCCTGCTGTGTTCATCCAGCTCTACACCTTGTTATCTCAGATTTTCCAGCATCTGCAGTTCCTACTATCTCTGCTCCAGCAAAGATTGGTTAAAAAAAATTAAAAACTTGGTTGCAGTTGATTTGAATGACAGTAAGGTTTCCAAAAATAAACTCCTCCTCCAACACTGTATGAAAGAAAAAGTTCATGCACTAACATAACTCAATGTCTTGAACTTGGAACTGCTGCGCTTTCAGTTGTAATGGTGAGTTGTAGCTAGTCTCAATTTCCTCTCTGTCTCACTGCTTGTTCACCTCCCTCGTGTAGACTCTGGACCTGAACTTCAAGGTCAGAGTTGTTAAATAGAGGCTGCATTGACTCCAAGGGTAAACATTGCAGGCAACACTTGAACAGACCAAATCTTTCCAATCAATATTTAACTTGATAAGTTCTGGTCTTCCCAGAAATCAGCTGCCTTTTGGGAGGCAGGGGTACAATGTTATTGACACTGGGCTATTTATCTGGAGATCAACTGACGTTTTGGGCAGCCTCACAGTGGAATTTAAATTTGAAAATACAAACAAAATTCCAAAATTAAAGTCTGGTCATAAAATTGATGATTAGTGAACTCAATGGGTTTTTACAATAATGTTTTAATGAAGATGTGTAGCTCAGGTTGGATTGTTAGGTGGTTTGCTGAGCTGACTGGTTTTCATGCAAACGTTACATCTCCTTTTTAGGTGACATCGTTAGTACTGTGTAGCCTGTGTTGAAATGCTGTGGTTCTGTCCTGATCTTGTTTCCAGTTTTGTACCATAGTGGAATGCAGATGGCGTCTATTTGTTAATTGCATGGGTGGTTGAAAATTGGCACAACCAATTCTCCCTCAATTTAACACACACTGGCATAGAAGGACATGAATTTGATCTGGACAAAGTTACTGCATGAGGACAAATGAGACAAAGATAAACACGAGAATTCTAGGAGGCCTGGTTTTCTACCACTGACAAAATTAACAAATATGTTGAAAAAAACCAAAATGTGTTGGAGGAGGAGATAATGAACTCCAGCCCCAGTGGTGCCTACCCCCTCTCTCTAAATGCTTCGAGGGCATCACCTGCTCCCTCTAAGTGCACCCAGACCGGAACGTAACTGAGAGGTGCAGACCGATAGGAATCATCACCCCACCCACCTCCATGGCAGAATACCTGGACCTGCCAATGGTCACTTTCGCCAAGCCTAGGGGCAGTTCCTCTGACCCACCCACTACAGTCAGTACCCAAAAGGTGGGCTCAAAGTGCAGCCAAAACAGCAATGGCTGGTTGTTTTAGACCCACAAAAGGGCTGTAACTAAGGTCACAGTTTAAGGATAAGAGGTGAGCCATTTAGGACCAAGAACAATGGAGAGCGGCCAGGCCGGCGGGAGAGCGGCCAGGCCGGCGGGAG